CCAGACCCGAAACGGCGACGCATCACCAACCTCGGCCGTCCACCTCAGAGTGGGAGAGGTCTCCGGGTGGGAGACACGGGGCCAGAGGTTGAGTTGCTCAGCAGCGTATCGGACTGCAAACGGCCACAGAAAATGGGGAGCAGCCGCATGGACGATGGAGGTGCGAGCAACCTCCATCACCAAGCCAATGCGGCGCTCTGCAATCCCATTGTGCTGTGGAGAGGGCGGAAGCGTGAACATCTGGCGGATGCCCTCATCACCACAAAACTCCTCGAGGAGACCGGAGGAAAACTCACCACCTCGATCAGAGTCCAGTCGCAGGACCGGGAGGTCCTGCTGAAACCGAGCCCTGAGCTGGCGACGGACAGCACGGATCCAGCGGATCAAAACACTGCGGACCTCCGCCTTGCTCTGCAAGGGGAAGACCGTGGTCTAGCGCGTGTAGTCGTCTACAACCAGCAAGAAGTAGCGCTCTCCGCCCTGTTCAGGGACTCGGGCCGGACCCCACACGTCCATGTGGAGGGTCTGCAGAGGAGCTGTGGTCGGAGGAAACGAGGAGTGAGGAGCGGCGCGCTGCCGCCCCTCGACGCAGGGAAGACACGGCGGCGCAAGCGACCTCGGGAGCGGGGGCAGGGACCTGGGAAGCCCCGAGACAAGGAGACAGGAGTGCATGCCACGAAGGCGTGGCAGGGAGGGATGGCCAGGACGGTGGTGCCAAAGGAAAGTCTGGTGCGTGAGGAGACGACAAGAGCAAGACACAGCGACCTCAACCAACGCAGCTACCTGACCTGACTCAGGTACCAGTGTAGACTCAGTGGTCAGTGACCCAGGCCTACAAGTGAACGTGGCGAGGTGCTCACCAGTGCGCAAGTCCATACAGTTCGCCACTACCTCGCCTCCAAGCTGGGTGACAGTGACCCACTTGGTCCTAGACGACAGAGGTAGCCACCAAGTTCTTGGTGAACGAGGGGAGGTGGAGACCTGTGAGGAGGCCCGAAGGGGCCGCCGGGCAAGGGAGTACAGTGGCGCCACGCGCAACTACCGGGCCCGCGGAGGGGTCGGCCAGTGTGACAGGGACAGGGACTGTGAGCAGTGTGACTGTGGTGTTGTCGCGGAAGAAGCAACGAGACGCGCCTGAGTTTGCAAGGCCTCCTCAGGCTCTGCCCCTGCACTAGCTGAGTCACACGCACCAAGACTAGTAGCCTCTACGCCCTTAGGTGCCTCTACACCCCCAGTACAAGCACCTCGAAACCCTCCACCACCTGGTCTGCCCCACCGGACGGCCCACTCACGAAGCTGCTGCTGACGCTGCTGCTGCTGCTGTCCACCCCCAGAACCTCCGCATCTACTAGCGGCACTACCAGCAGGAGTAGACTCACAGGTACCTCCGGTAGTAGCACCCCACCGGGCAGCCCACTCACGACGCTGCTGTGGCGAAAGCGGCTTCCGCCGACGAGCACAGCTAGCTCGTCCACCGGGGCTGCCCCACCAGATAACCCACTCGCGAAGCTGCTGCGGCGAGAGAGACTCCTGCACACTTGACTGCCGTGGTGGTGGCCATGGCAGTCAGTGGCAGCTAGTAGCAGCAGGGAGGAGCAGCTAGGGAAGAGCGCGAGTAGCTGGGTGCTCTAGTGCATGTCGCTCGTGGGGCAGGGCTGGCAGTGTTTGTAGTGCAGCGGTTGGGAGATGTGCAGCAGCAGCAGACAGCCGCTGCAGCTTGGCAGTGCTGGGCAGCGTGCAGGGCAGTGCTAGTGGCGGCCGCGCAGGGCAGGGCAGCGCTGGGCAGCGCGTGCAGGCAGGGCAGCAGTGGCAGCGGCAGGCAGCAGCAGTGGCAGTGGCCGGCAGCAGTGCAGCGCTGGCGGCGGCCAAGCAGGGTAGGGCAGCGCTGAGCAGCGCGTGCAAGCAGGGCAGCAGTGGCAGCGGCCAGTAGCAGCAGCGGCAGTGGCCGGCAGCAGCGGCGGCAGCAGGGCAGCGCTGGCGGCGGCCAGGCAGGGTAGGACAGGGCTGGCAGCGCGTGCAGGCAGGGCAGCAGTGGCAGCGGCCGGCAGCTGCAGCAGCAGTGGCTGGCAGCAGTGATAGCCGGAGCAGGCAGCAGCTGCGGCTTGGCAGTGTTGGAAACAAGTGATGTAAGCGCTTCTGCTGTGTCGAAACATCAAGTCGTAAACGAAGCGAAGCACTAACGAAACATCAGCGAGTCAACCATCGGAGGTTGACAACTGAAGCAACCGCTGGAGGTTACGCGAAGGTCAAAGGTCAGCGACCTTTGACCTGACAAAATACAGCGCGACAGCAAGGACAAACAACTGACTCGATATAGAGCAGTTGCCCGAGTCGTCACTGTATCGAACCGCAACAGCAACAGTAAAACAGTTATTAGCTGTATCTCTTCATATTCCTTGTACTCTTATAAAACCTTCTATCCTCTTGTTTTAGATTAATCTACTTTGCCCTCACATACCAACGCAAGGTGGTTCAAGACTTATCATTATACGCTTCCGCATTTACAACAAGTCCTACCCAGAGTTTAGCCTTGCAAAGATCCTAAGGGCTTTTCTCAGCCCAACAGGCAGGGCAGCAGCTCAAGGCAGGGCAGTGCAGCGCGCTCAGCACTTGGCAGTGCGTAGCGGCAGGGGCGCTAGTTGGCGGCACAGGCAGCGCAGCAGGGCAGTGAGCAGGCAGCGCATGGCAATGTGCGGGTGGCTCTGGCAGGGCGCACGTAGGCAGCGCAGGGCAGCGCGAGCAAAGTAGCGCGCAGGGCAGCTGACGGCGGGCCAGCAGCTAGCAGGCAGCGCGGGCGGCTAGCAGGCAGGGTGTGGGCCGCGCGAGAAGCGGGCGAGCGGCGTGCGGGCAGTGCGGGCAGTACGCGGGCAACGCGAGGGCAGGGCAGGTGCGCGCAGGGCTGTACGGGCTGCGCGAGGGCCTGGCGCGGGCTGTACGGGTGGTGCGGGGGGGCGCGGAGGCTGTACGGCTGTTCGCGGGCGGCACACGGGCTGTACGGGCTGCGCGCGGCAGGGCAGGGCAGGGTAGCGCGAAAGCGCTGGGCAGGGCAGAAACTAACGGCCGGGCAGGGGAAAAACGCCTGCCGGGCAGAGGGAAACGAATGTGGTGGGCCCTAAAAAAAACTAGGTCCTAATCGGGATCTACTCTGAAACCATGTTAAGATTAAGTGATGATGGACTAGGTCAATGGGAGGGGTACAAGAAGGATGTCGAGAAGATTGGTGTATCCCCTTGGACTAAACCCACTACAACCTAATGAAACATACAAACATATGTTTTGACATAGACGACCGAGCAGCCGGTCAAATCCTGCCTATCTTCCAGGTGCCTATCTGTCAAATCCTCTGGCAGAGCTTCCAGGTGCATGCAGGCGAAGAGGCAGAGATCCTTGAGTCTGGTGAGCTGACCAAAGTTTGTAGGAAGGAAGGAGATAGAAACGTTGTTCACTGGGTGGGATGGGATGTAAAGGCATGGTTGGGTTGAAAAGACAAAGGTGGGATGAAAAGGCATGGGTGGGATGTAAAGGCATGGGTAGGATGTAAAGGCATGGGTGGGATGTAAAGGCATGGGTGGGATGTAAAGGCATGGGTGGGATGTAAAGGCATGGATGGGATGTAAAGGCATGGGTGGGATGTAAAGGCCTGGGTGGGATGTAAAGGCCTGGGTGGGATGTGAAGGCCAAGGTGGGTTGGGATGGAATGGGTGGGATGAAAAGGCATGGGTGATCTGAAAAGGCATGGGTGGGCTGAAAAGGCATGGGTGGGCTGAAAAGGCATGGGTGGGCTGAAAAGGCTGGGCATTGGGTGGGTTGAATTGAAAAGAGAAGGGGGGGAGGGGAGGGGAGAGGGAGAGGGGGGGGGTTGTGCGGGGTGGGGGGGGTGAGATGAAAAGGCATGGGTGGGATGGAAAGGCATGGGTGGGATGAAAAGGAGAGGGTTGAAAAGGCGAGGGTTGAAAAGGCGAGGGTTGAAAAGGCGAGGGTTGAAAAGGCGAGGGTGGGTTGAAAAGGCGAGGGTGGGTTGAAAAGGCATGGGTGGGATGAAAAGGCATGGGTGGGATGAGGAGGCATAGGTGGGATGAGGAGGCCTGGGTGGGATGAGGAGGCATGGGTGGGATGAGGAGGCCTGGGTGGGATGAGGAGGCATGGGTGGGATGAGGAGGCATGGGTGGGATGAGGAGGCCTGGGTGGGATGAGGAGGCATGGGTGGGATGAGGAGGCCTGGGTGGGATGAGGAGGCATGGGTGGGATGAGGAGGCCTGGGTGGGATGAGGAGGCATGGGTGGGATGAGGAGGCCTGGGTGGGATGAGGAGGCATGGGTGGGATGAGGAGGCCTGGGTGGGATGAGGAGGCATGGGTGGGATGAGGAGGCCTGGGTGGGATGAGGAGGCATGGGTGGGATGAGGAGGCCTGGGTGGGATGAGGAGGCATGGGTGGGATGAGGAGGCATGGGTGGGATGAGGAGGTATGGGTGGGATGAGGAGGCATGGGTGGGATGAGGAGGCATGGGTGGGATGAGGAGGCATGGGTGGGATGAGGAGGCATGGGTGGGATGAGGAGGCATGGGTGGGATGAGGAGGCATGGGTGGGATGAGGAGGCATGGGTGGGATGAGGAGGCCTGGGTGGGATGAGGAGGCATGGGTGGGATGAGGAGGCCTGGGTGGGATGAGGAGGCATGGGTGGGATGAGGAGGCCTGGGTGGGATGAGGAGGCATGGGTGGGATGAGGAGGCATGGGTGGGATGAGGAGGCCTGGGTGGGATGAGGAGGCATGGGTGGGATGAGGAGGCCTGGGTGGGATGAGGAGGCCTGGGTGGGATGAGGAGGCATGGGTGGGATGAGGAGGCATGGGTGGGATGAGGAGGCATGGGTGGGATGAGGAGGCATGGGTGGGATGAGGAGGCCTGGGTCGGTTGACAACGCCTGATTGTGATGAAAGGCCAGGGTAGGTTGAAAAGGCCTAGGTGGGATGAGAAGGCATGGGTGGGTAGAAAAAACACAAATGCGCAGAGAAGGAGCAGACGAAACAGTGGGAGTTGGAGGCTCTAAGGAGAGGCTTGCTGCCGCTGTGGAAGCGGCAAAATCAGGAGTGCGAGGGCTGGTATGAGAGTAGTGCAGAATCAGGAGTGCAAAATCAGTAGTGCAGAATCAGGAGTGCAAAATCAGGAGTGCAAGTGCTGGTATGAGAGCAGTGGGGCGTGTGAGGGGAGTGGGGGGTATGAGATGAATGGGGGGTATGTTTGGAGTGGGGGTATGAGGGGAGAGGTTGTTATGAGGGGAATGGGGGGGATGAGAGGATTGGCGGTGTAGGACAGGAGTGGGGGGTATGAGAGGAGTCAGGGGTGTATGAGGAGTGGGAGATATGAGAGGAGTGGGAGATATGAGAGGAGTGGGAGATATGAGAGGAGTGGGAGATATGAGAGGAGTGGGAGATATGAGAGGAGTGGGAGATATGAGAGGAGTGGGAGATATGAGAGGAGTGGGAGATATGAGAGGAGTGGGAGATATGAGAGGAGTGGGAGATATGAGAGGAGTGGGAGATATGAGAGGAGTGGGAGATATGAGAGGAGTGGGAGATATGAGAGGAGTGGGAGATATGAGAGGAGTGGGAGATATGAGAGGAGTGGGAGATATGAGAGGAGTGGGAGATATGAGAGGAGTGGGAGATATGAGAGGAGTGGGAGATATGAGAGGAGTGGGAGATATGAGAGGAGTGGGAGATATGAGAGGAGTGGGAGATATGAGAGGAGTGGGAGATATGAGAGGAGTGGGAGATATGAGAGGAGTGGGAGATATGAGAGGAGTGGGAGATATGAGAGGAGTGGGAGATATGAGAGGAGTGGGAGATATGAGAGGAGTGGGAGATATGAGAGGAGTGGGAGATATGAGAGGAGTGGGAGATATGAGAGGAGTGGGAGATATGAGAGGAGTGGGAGATATGAGAGGAGTGGGAGATATGAGAGGAGTGGGAGATATGAGAGGAGTGGGAGATATGAGAGGAGTGGGAGATATGAGAGGAGTGGGAGATATGAGAGGAGTGGGAGATATGAGAGGAGTGGGAGATATGAGAGGAGTGGGAGATATGAGAGGAGTGGGAGATATGAGAGGAGTGGGAGATATGAGAGGAGTGGGAGATATGAGAGGAGTGGGAGATATGAGAGGAGTGGGAGATATGAGATGAGTGGGAGATATGAGAGGAGTGGGAGATATGAGATGAGTGGGAGATATGAGAGGAGTGGGAGATATGAGAGGAGTGGGAGATATGAGAGGAGTGGGAGATATGAGAGGAGTGGGAGATATGAGAGGAGTGGGAGATATGAGAGGAGTGGGAGATATGAGAGGAGTGGGAGATATGAGAGGAGTGGGAGATATGAGAGGAGTGGGAGATATGAGAGGAGTGGGAGATATGAGAGGAGTGGGAGATATGAGAGGAGTGGGAGATATGAGAGGAGTGGGAGATATGAGAGGAGTGGGAGATATGAGAGGAGTGGGAGATATGAGAGGAGTGGGAGATATGAGAGGAGTGGGAGATATGAGAGGAGTGGGAGATATGAGAGGAGTGGGAGATATGAGAGGAGTGGGAGATATGAGAGGAGTGGGAGATATGAGATGAGTGGGAGATATGAGAGGAGTGGGAGATATGAGAGGAGTGGGAGATATGAGAGGAGTGGGAGATATGAGATGAGTGGGAGATATGAGAGGAGTGGGAGATATGAGAGGAGTGGGAGATATGAGAGGAGTGGGAGATATGAGATGAGTGGGAGATATGAGAGGAGTGGGAGATATGAGAGGAGTGGGAGATATGAGATGAGTGGGAGATATGAGAGGAGTGGGAGATATGAGAGGAGTGGGAGATATGAGAGGAGTGGGAGATATGAGAGGAGTGGGAGATATGAGAGGAGTGGGAGATATGAGAGGAGTGGGAGATATGAGAGGAGTGGGAGATATGAGATGAGTGGGAGATATGAGAGGAGTGGGAGATATGAGAGGAGTGGGAGATATGAGAGGAGTGGGAGATATGAGATGAGTGGGAGATATGAGAGGAGTGGAGATATGAGAGGAGTGGGAGATATGAGAGGAGTGGGAGATATGAGATGAGTGGGAGATATGAGAGGAGTGGGAGATATGAGAGGAGTGGGAGATATGAGAGGAGTGGGAGATATTAGAGGAGTGGGAGATATGAGAGGAGTGGGAGATATGAGAGGAGTGGGAGATATGAGAGGAGTGGGAGATATGAGAGGAGTGGGAGATATGAGAGGAGTGGGAGATATGAGAGGAGAGGGAGATATGAGAGGAGTGGGAGATATGAGAGGAGTGGGAGATATGAGAGGAGTGGGAGATATGAGAGGAGTGGGAGATATGAGAGGAGTGGGAGATATGAGAGGAGTGGGAGATATGAGAGGAGTGGGAGATATGAGAGGAGTGGGAGATATGAGAGGAGTGGGAGATATGAGAGGAGTGGGAGATATGAGAGGAGTGGGAGATATGAGAGGAGAGGGAGATATGAGAGGAGTAGGGAGATATGAGAGGAGTGGGAGATATGAGAGGAGTGGGAGATATGAGAGGAGTGGGAGATATGAGATGAGTGGGAGATATGAGATGAGTGGGAGATATGAGATGAGTGGGAGATATGAGATGAGTGGGAGATATGAGATGAGTGGGAGATATGAGATGAGTGGGAGATATGAGATGAGTGGGAGATATGAGAGGAGTGGGAGATATGAGATGAGTGGGAGATATGAGATGAGTGGGAGATATGAGAGGAGTGGGAGATATGAGATGAGTGGGAGATATGAGATGAGTGGGAGATATGAGATGAGTGGGAGATATGAGATGAGTGGGAGATATGAGATGAGTGGGAGATATGAGAGGAGTGGGAGATATGAGATGAGTGGGAGATATGAGAGGAGTGGGAGATATGAGATGAGTGGGAGATATGAGATGAGTGGGAGATATGAGATGAGTGGGAGATATGAGATGAGTGGGAGATATGAGATGAGTGGGAGATATGAGATGAGTGGGAGATATGAGATGAGTGGGAGATATGAGATGAGTGGGAGATATGAGATGAGTGGGAGATATGAGATGAGTGGGAGATATGAGATGAGTGGGAGATATGAGATGAGTGGGAGATATGAGATGAGTGGGAGATATGAGATGAGTGGGAGATATGAGATGAGTGGGAGATATGAGATGAGTGGGAGATATGAGATGAGTGGGAGATATGAGATGAGTGGGAGATATGAGATGAGTGGGAGATATGAGATGAGTGGGAGATATGAGATGAGTGGGAGATATGAGATGAGTGGGAGATATGAGATGAGTGGGAGATATGAGATGAGTGGGAGATATGAGATGAGTGGGAGATATGAGATGAGTGGGAGATATGAGATGAGTGGGAGATATGAGATGAGTGGGAGATATGAGATGAGTGGGAGATATGAGAGGAGTGGGAGATATGAGAGGAGTGGGAGATATGAGAGGAGTGGGAGATATGAGAGGAGTGGGAGATATGAGAGGAGTGGGAGATATTAGAGGAGTGGGAGATATGAGAGGAGTGGGAGATATGAGAGGAGTGGGAGATATGAGATGAGTGGGAGATATGAGATGAGTGGGAGATATGAGAGGAGTGGGAGATATGAGATGAGTGGGAGATATGAGAGGAGTGGGAGATATGAGATGAGTGGGAGATATGAGAGGAGTGGGAGATATGAGATGAGTGGGAGATATGAGATGAGTGGGAGATATGAGATGAGTGGGAGATATGAGATGAGTGGGAGATATGAGATGAGTGGGAGATATGAGATGAGTGGGAGATATGAGATGAGTGGGAGATATGAGATGAGTGGGAGATATGAGATGAGTGGGAGATATGAGATGAGTGGGAGATATGAGATGAGTGGGAGATATGAGATGAGTGGGAGATATGAGATGAGTGGGAGATATGAGATGAGTGGGAGATATGAGAGGAGTGGGAGATATTAGAGGAGTGGGAGATATGAGAGGAGTGGGAGATATGAGAGGAGTGGGAGATATGAGATGAGTGGGAGATATGAGATGAGTGGGAGATATGAGAGGAGTGGGAGATATGAGATGAGTGGGAGATATGAGATGAGTGGGAGATATGAGATGAGTGGGAGATATGAGATGAGTGGGAGATATGAGATGAGTGGGAGATATGAGATGAGTGGGAGATATGAGATGAGTGGGAGATATGAGATGAGTGGGAGATATGAGATGAGTGGGAGATATGAGATGAGTGGGAGATATGAGATGAGTGGGAGATATGAGATGAGTGGGAGATATGAGATGAGTGGGAGATATGAGATGAGTGGGAGATATGAGATGAGTGGGAGATATGAGATGAGTGGGAGATATGAGATGAGTGGGAGATATGAGATGAGTGGGAGATATGAGATGAGTGGGAGATATGAGATCAGTGGGAGATATGAGAGGAGTGGGAGATATGAGAGGAGTGGGAGATATGAGAGGAGTGGGAGATATGAGAGGAGTGGGAGATATGAGAGGAGTGGGAGATATTAGAGGAGTGGGAGATATGAGAGGAGTGGGAGATATGAGAGGAGTGGGAGATATGAGATGAGTGGGAGATATGAGATGAGTGGGAGATATGAGAGGAGTGGGAGATATGAGATGAGTGGGAGATATGAGAGGAGTGGGAGATATGAGAGGAGTGGGAGATATGAGAGGAGTGGGAGATATGAGAGGAGTGGGAGATATGAGAGGAGTGGGAGATATGAGAGGAGTGGGAGATATGAGAGGAGTGGGAGATATGAGAGGAGTGGGAGATATGAGAGGAGTGGGAGATATGAGAGGAGTGGGAGATATGAGAGGAGTGGGAGATATGAGAGGAGTGGGAGATATGAGAGGAGTGGGAGATATGAGAGGAGTGGGAGATATGAGAGGAGTGGGAGATATGAGAGGAGTGGGAGATATGAGAGGAGTGGGAGATATGAGAGGAGAGGAGTGGGAGATATGAGAGGAGTGGGAGATATGAGAGGAGTGGGAGATATGAGAGGAGTGGGAGATATGAGATGAGTGGGAGATATGAGAGGAGTGGGAGATATGAGATGAGTGGGAGATATGAGAGGAGTGGGAGATATGAGATGAGTGGGAGATATGAGATGAGTGGGAGATATGAGATGAGTGGGAGATATGAGATGAGTGGGAGATATGAGATGAGTGGGAGATATGAGATGAGTGGGAGATATGAGATGAGTGGGAGATATGAGATGAGTGGGAGATATGAGATGAGTGGGAGATATGAGATGAGTGGGAGATATGAGATGAGTGGGAGATATGAGATGAGTGGGAGATATGAGATGAGTGGGAGATATGAGATGAGTGGGAGATATGAGATGAGTGGGAGATATGAGATGAGTGGGAGATATGAGATGAGTGGGAGATATGAGATGAGTGGGAGATATGAGATGAGTGGGAGATATGAGATGAGTGGGAGATATGAGATGAGTGGGAGATATGAGATGAGTGGGAGATATGAGATGAGTGGGAGATATGAGATGAGTGGGAGATATGAGATGAGTGGGAGATATGAGATGAGTGGGAGATATGAGATGAGTGGGAGATATGAGATGAGTGGGAGATATGAGATGAGTGGGAGATATGAGATGAGTGGGAGATATGAGATGAGTGGGAGATATGAGATGAGTGGGAGATATGAGATGAGTGGGAGATATGAGATGAGTGGGAGATATGAGATGAGTGGGAGATATGAGATGAGTGGGAGATATGAGATGAGTGGAGATATGAGAGGAGTGGGAGATATGAGAGGAGTGGGAGATATGAGAGGAGTGGGAGATATGAGAGGAGTGGGAGATATGAGAGGAGTGGGAGATATTAGAGGAGTGGGAGATATGAGAGGAGTGGGAGATATGAGAGGAGTGGGAGATATGAGATGAGTGGGAGATATGAGATGAGTGGGAGATATGAGAGGAGTGGGAGATATGAGATGAGTGGGAGATATGAGAGGAGTGGGAGATATGAGATGAGTGGGAGATATGAGAGGAGTGGGAGATATGAGATGAGTGGGAGATATGAGATGAGTGGGAGATATGAGATGAGTGGAAGATATGAGATGAGTGGGAGATATGAGATGAGTGGGAGATATGAGATGAGTGGGAGATATGAGATGAGTGGGAGATATGAGATGAGTGGGAGATATGAGATGAGTGGGAGATATGAGATGAGTGGGAGATATGAGATGAGTGGGAGATATGAGATGAGTGGGAGATATGAGATGAGTGGGAGATATGAGATGAGTGGGAGATATGAGATGAGTGGGAGATATGAGATGAGTGGGAGATATGAGATGAGTGGGAGATATGAGATGAGTGGGAGATATGAGATGAGTGGGAGATATGAGATGAGTGGGAGATATGAGATGAGTGGGAGATATGAGATGAGTGGGAGATATGAGATGAGTGGGAGATATGAGATGAGTGGGAGATATGAGATCAGTGGGAGATATGAGAGGAGTGGGAGATATGAGAGGAGTGGGAGATATGAGAGGAGTGGGAGATATGAGAGGAGTGGGAGATATGAGAGGAGTGGGAGATATTAGAGGAGTGGGAGATATGAGAGGAGTGGGAGATATGAGAGGAGTGGGAGATATGAGATGAGTGGGAGATATGAGATGAGTGGGAGATATGAGAGGAGTGGGAGATATGAGATGAGTGGGAGATATGAGAGGAGTGGGAGATATGAGAGGAGTGGGAGATATGAGAGGAGTGGGAGATATGAGAGGAGTGGGAGATATGAGAGGAGTGGGAGATATGAGAGGAGTGGGAGATATGAGAGGAGTGGGAGATATGAGAGGAGTGGGAGATATGAGAGGAGTGGGAGATATGAGAGGAGTGGGAGATATGAGAGGAGTGGGAGATATGAGGAGTGGGAGATCTGTGGGAGATATGAGAGGAGTGGGAGATATGAGAGGAGTGGGAGATATGAGAGGAGTGGGAGATATGAGAGGAGTGGGAGATATGAGAGGAGTGGGAGATATGAGAGGAGTGGGAGATATGAGAGGAGTGGGAGATATGAGATGAGTGGGAGATATGAGAGGA